AGTTCATCACTTTCAATCACTTACTATCATTCGGTATTCAAAATACCCCTTTCAATCCCACAAGGATAGATACTTGTATATAAAATTGATATCAACGCTATTGATAAATCCACAAATGGTTTCGAATTGGACTTTTTGCTGATGATACAAATTTATTTTAACTTCATTCATTAGAAGAAAAAATTTTCATCTTTCCAACATTAATAATTACTTTCACTTAGTGAACGAATGAGGAATCTTACAATTAATATCGCAACAACATTTACGTAATTGTTAAAGAATACTCTCGATATCAGTGACGATTGAGGGCAGTATGGGTGTCACTAGAAAACATATAGAGGGCGTTTTCTCAGAAAACTATTGAGGCGTTTTCAAAACCAATATTGAAAAAACATTATTTAAACGAACGAGGATTACTTATTATTTGTTATACAAATTATTATTAACCAAACTCAAGTTGTCGCCAAATGTAGCCAAATTTCACGTTTATTAATTCTGAATGCAGTGTCGCGTCAATTACGATACTAGAATACGAAAAACTGAATAAAGGCAAGTTGAAAACATACATAAATTAATAAATAAAAATAATAATTTAATCTGTTTTTGAGTGTGGCGTGTTGATATCAACAAACTAGTACTCAATACATGGAAAACGGACGAGTGTTTTCTCTCTATTTAAGGATTTCTCATTCTGGGACCACTTCGGTAAGTTGAAGCATGATGGGTGAAGCAGTGAACGGTGTATGAATTACAGTGTGTGGATTTGGGAATAAAAGCTAACGTGCAATAACATGAATGCTTTCATATATAATGAATGTACTGTAATAAAGGTGTTCTCTGTACTCTCAGACTACTATAGAACTACTATAGTGTTCTTAGCTTTACAGTGTTGTATTGTAACCTGATACGTGACATGTATAATTGTCAGCCCAGGTGACTCGTGTGTCAAAGAAAGCTATAGTATTATAATTAGACATGCGCAGTTGACGCATTCCAATTGCCCATTTACAACTGCAAACGAAGTGCGTGCGCAGGGTCACGTATGAAAACAAAGTAGTTCGGGATAGTTTTTCGAAGATGCATTCTTATTTGAGACGGGAACAGAGGCCAATATTTCATTGATGTTAACAAGTTAGGCTTCTTTGAATATAGAAGAGCAATATTATGTACTTTATTAAATTAGACATTACATCTATTCATCCGCGCGCAAAACAGAGGTAAACAGCTCGCCATTTTTTTAATTCCGGATCATGGTAGGAAAAGTCAAGGACGCTGATATTTATACGCAGCAAGGAATTTCGAAATACATAAACGACGATGATTTGTTGCATTGTCATGCCATATTTTATGTGTTAGTAATTGTAATATAACCCCAATCAAAATGATTAAGCAGTGGCGACTGGAGGACTTTGATCCAAACCTGCCGAACGAGGCGAATAAATTTGCCGAAGATTTGGACCAGTTCGAAACAACCAGTCCCGATGAAATGCAACGATCCCTTAGGCGAACGTGGAAACCATCGGAACCAGAATTTCCCGAGCTTGACGCAGCCACTCGGTACAGTAATAAGAGCCCTCATTATATTAGTCCTACGCAAAAGAAGGCGGATACTGTCAGTGGGGAGTCGGCTTCGTTCACCTACCCACGGAAATCCGATACGGAGATCAGAGCAAAACATAGTTATCGCAGTACTGGAGGACACAACGCTGAGCCTACGTACAGTACTCCTTCGTTGTCGAACAGACAACGTCTGAGTTCTGAAATCGGGAGAAACTCTCCACCAGCCACGTCTAACACTCCACAAAATATGTCAAACCCAGAAGACACCGCGATGGGATACAATAGTCTGCCCAACCCAAAAAGTGACAGCGACAGTGGCTATTATGCCAGTCCCGAGAGGACGACGCGATATGACCACCACGATTATTATTCTCTACAAGACAGCTACGGATCTAAACATGATACTCGCCAGACTGTGATGTCATCAAGTCCTTCTATTGAAAGTAGATACCCAAATAGGAACGGTTCACACCCACATGACCCGCAGTCGACACTAGGAGAGACAAGCTTTATCACCGAAGACTACGACAAGTAGGCCATCGTACATGGAATCCCGGTATCCAAGCGGGCGACCTCCGCCGTCAGGGCCAAGTAGTTTATCTCCTTCCTACGAACACAAGTATACAGGTCCGAGGACAAATTTGGCAGATCCTTACGAAAAATATCCCGCTGCCACAAGACCTGGCGCTAATACTACTGCTGCAGGATATTTTAATTACGACAGGCATTCCAGTCCACGATCCACTGGTGTCGTTGCTCCAAGCCATAACAGGAATTCCTCCGAGAGACTCAGCCACCAATACGATGCGAGAGCGTCACCGGAATCGACCCGACCAAGTTTAAGGGAGAAACGAGAGGCATTCTTTGGGGGTGGCAGTCCAACATCGCCAGTTGGGGGAGAACAACGCGACCTTGTGAGTTCATCTTCACCAACATTGTCTACCCAGCATTCACCTGTAGAACAAACTTCAAACTTGCACCATCAACATCACCAAAGGTCAAGTCCATATGAACAGCAGCATTATCAGCAATCTCATTCCACTAGCACGCCATCAAGTCACCAGACAAGTCCAATGCCAAGTCAGTATAACCCGGTCCATAACTATTCGCCGGAATCCTCGTTTACCAGGTATCAAAGGCCACCAGAAGAAAATAAGTCTCCCGTTGATGAACGTTACCACAGTTACCAAAACAGACAGCATGAATCCCCTAGTCCATCAAGACCAGAAGTGGGCGGTAGACCAGTTAGTTATCCATCGAGACACAGCCCAAATGACAGCCGAGAATATAGACCACAGAGTTATCCACCTAAATACGATGTTAGCCCAAAAGAGGTATCAAGACCCGGAAGGTATGAATACACTCCCAAAGAACCCAATGTACATTCTAGTATACCGAACACTGCAATAGCAAATGGAGTGAAATACACAGCGGAGCCGTTGCAGAAGGCTCTACCACCCCAGGTCACAGAGGGGCGCACAAGGTTGCCATATCAAGTAACTCCGCCAAGGAAACCTGGTCCTAGTACCGCTGAGCAAAAGCTGGAAGAACTCACGAGACAGCTCGAGGAAGAACTAGAGATTAATCCGGAAGGAGAGTTTTTTGGTGAGTAGTTAATTTAGTACTTTCATATGAAAATGTTTGCCATTGATTTTGCTGTCCTTCCTCCCCAATCTTCTTTCACAAAATGTGGTGCTGCTGATCTATGCCCAACATTTGAATGCCAATATCAATTGTTGTCACCATTCTTTCACAAATTAAAAATGCATATTTTTTTTCATATTTTTAAAAAAATTATGAAAAAAAAAATGATGTGAAATTATGTTCATTTGGTAGGAGAAAAAATGGCATTCAAAAGGTTAAAATATCGATATATTGGAAACGAATATAATTAACTAGTTTGAGCACCAGATGGTTAGAATCAATTTCTTAGCTACTTTGTATGTCTAAATAAAAAAAAAAAAATACTGAATGATTTTGACATAAGCTCATGTCAAATATGGGCAATTTTGTTGCTATGACAACAGTTACTAAGTAACTTTGTTGTGTTAATTATCATGCAAAGTTTTAGACCACATCCATTCAATACCCAACTATGACATGCGCATCAGGTTCCTGCAGGTAATGTTAAATTCTCTACACAAATTTATTTAGTGTACAGTTTTGCCATTCTACAATTGTACTGTGACCAAGGGATAAATAAGTATGGACGACAGAGGTATAATTATCTGGTACAACGAATTCCCGTACTGAGTTTATTTACCAAGATTACACAGGAGAGCGACACTGTAAATTACAGGAACTAAAAACCTAAAAGATATAAAAATACAATAATTTATATTGAGAAAATTAACGATAATTCAAATAAAAAATACATTTCACACTAATACTGGAGTCGCCATTCAATGAAAGCAAACAAAAGATTAGTTAAAGCACATGTCAGGAACAAAGGGTTGCATGGTCATTGAAGCACATGGCCAGAACAATAGAAACAATCTACATACCCAGTCAGTTGGTCAAATCTAACAAATTCCACTCAGTTTGGCTTATATTGAGAATGTTTCATTTTTTTTCAAACTCTTTTAAATTGGGAAATATTAATATTCATATATCTCTTTAATACTTATGAGCTAGTGACAGTCCCATTGGGCGGGCGAGATCCCTGCTTATAGTATTTCAAACATATTTTTCTGAGATTATACATTGTACCTACACATCGCAGTCTTTAAAAGCTGACAAAAAATTTACCTACATTTTGTTTATATCAATAACTTGTGTTTTCAATAATATAAGTCTGTGTGAAATTGTCATGCAAATGAATATTTGTGTTTCCATGGTAATTTCAAAATGAATCTCCTAATTCCATGTAGGTAAAACTTCAATATTGTTAAATGGTTTTAATTTCGCTAAAGAAAATTCTGACATGGAAAATTGTGTTCCAGTGAACATATCACTGGGGGTTAAAACCCTCTTCTTACCGACGCCATAAAATACCATGTGAAAAATGGACACCTATTTTCCCAGCATACATTTCACACTAACTAGCCAAGACTTTTTGTGTAATTTCAACCAATTTCAATTGTCAAGTACTGCCTTTTAAGTAATCAAATTGACATTAAACTTGGTTTTCCATTTAGAATA